ATCAATGTTCTGGAATTCTTGGTCACCTAACAGGCAAGTTCCTATTTCCCACCTCAACTTGTTGATTATCTTCCCATATCAATCATCAAGATTAGATTTGCTCCAGGGATCTTTGCTTCTGCATATTGGACTTTCTATTTGGGACCCACTCACAACTGTCCTAGGGTTTAAACAGGGTGACTAATTGTTTCTCTCAGTTGTACATGATTCTTCCTACTGAGTGGTTACTCCATCCTCAGGTCATTCTTAGATCTGTTCCCAGTTAGGCATGCCAATGATTGATGCCTTCACCACTTCTCTTAAATCCAAACTTGCCCTCTTCTGTTCTCTGGTAACTCACCCAGTAGCTCTGACAGTGGATATTCTTAGCCAGGACTGGTCTCATCTCTTTCAGTATGTTTACCCCACTCTTTGCCTTCTCCCATATGTCATGGTGTTGATTCACTGCAGTCTATGTCAGGTCCTGTTGGTAGCCTTCTTTAGGCTTGCTCAGTCTTGATTTCCTCTTCTTCACCAACTGGCATCCAGGGTATCTCTTCTGCTGCCTCAGTTCCAGTCACTCTTGTTACAACCTTATACATCTCTCTTGCACCCATATGTGTCATGCCTTTGTTTTCATGTGTGGAATTTTTCCAGTCCTTTGCATATCAGTTGGGTTCCTCTAACCATATAGCTTTTCTTTTATCCCATTCATGTTACCTTGCTGTTCTCTCTGTCTATTAATGAAAGTGGTGTGTTTTTCACTGCTGGTTAATTTACCACTCTTTCCCACAAGGCCATGTTACTGTTGCCCACCTTTTGGCTTTCTTTACCAGGTTGTTCTGTTGAGGATTGTTGGTTTCTACCATAACAGGCTATTGAGAGATCTTGTTGACTACCTTTGACTTTTTCCTTGTTCTTTCCACATTGTTCGGTCTTTATTCATTCATTGTTCCCCTCATCCAAGTTCTTTGCCTGACTGGAGACTTAATTTGGTCCTACACATTCTTACCCAAGTCCCATATGAACCATTGTTACCTGCTTATTATACCATCACTCTCTCAAAACCAATTTCCTTCTTCTCCTTGCTTGTGATCTTTATGCATTGAATCTCTCCCATTTTTTTCTTTCTCAGAACTTCCTTGATCTTGTTCCCAGATTTCTGCTCATTTCTTCCTAAGACTTGAGCAGCTTGGGAGACAGATAGTTCATTCTATTCCATCATTCTTGGCCCTCCATTATTGTACTGATACTCATCATCTTTTGTGTCCAGTTCGTGCATCCAAGTTGTTACTTGGCATGCACAGCTTCATTTCAGGATTCCCACAATCATTCATTCTTGCCATGGGGCTTCTCTTCTACCAGGGATCTCTTGTTCTGTACTTTTAATGGATAAATTCATCAACTCATCCGGATCTTACATTCTTACCTGGATGAGGATACTAGCATGCTGTATCATGTCTCATCACATCAAATCTGCTACTTGACTTATTCTTTGGCCTCACACTTTTGATGACCCTTGGGCAAGATCCTTCAGGCTGTAATGTAAACTATGTCCAATAGTTTTGTCTCTCATTGCCTTCACCATCTGGCAGTTTTTCTCCCTCAAGATATTGCTTGCCTTCAGTTGTCATTCTCCAATCTACTCACCATTCTTGATGAGTGCCTCTTTTACTTCTTTTCCCATTTCTACTTTTATGTGGTTCACTTCTCAAAACTCATCCAGTGGCAGATGTTGACTCACAAGGTATACTTACTTCCCTATATTCACATAGAGTTAAGGGTAATAGAAATTAATAAACCCATCTGCCCCTTCAAGTGTGGCCACTGTTCAGTTAGGGTTTTCTGCAAGACCACTCAGGTGATACATGTGTGTGTATATATACTGTACTTTCTATGGACTAACATGGAAAAAGCTAGCACCAGAGGAGTGTCTGCTCATTTCCTTGGCTAGCATATGCCAGCTTTTCAAATTAGATTTTGCAGTCACCTATTTCACTTTCTCCAGTAAATTACTTATACAGTGGTTAGGTCTAACTGAGTTGGGGCACCTTTCTGTTGTCTCTCCAGCATGAATTTCTCATCCATGGTTCATCTAGTGAAGCATGAGAAACCTTTGCCACTACCATTTCCTAGCCACTGGGGTGACTGACTTAGAGATTTCCTCACCAGTTGTGTGATTCTTCTAGAGAAAGTCTGAATGGGCAGCACAATGCAGTGAGAAGGAGGGCAGAGAGTGGCCATATCACTGTAGTGCAGGTCACCCCTCTTACATAATATGCCAATTTTCCAGTGATTTGTTCAGCCAGATGGGAAAAAGTGTTTTCTTCCTGCAACAGAAAGGGATATTCATCTACATTCCCATATTTATGATGAGTATATGATACAACATAAACTGTATATGATACAGTCTGATCATTGCCCTAGCAGCACTAAACTTGATGTCCAATTGATCAATTATTTGGAAATGCTTAGTTGGTCATGCACTTTTCCACTCACTTTTATTACACATTGGTTTTTTTGCTTTCCTCCTTTCATACTTTCATCTAGGCAAAGAGTATACGCTGAATGAAATGGGAGTGGTTTCCCGTGATTGTTGTCTTTACTATAGTGTCATACTCCTTGGGCTTTCCTTTTCAGTTGTCTTCTCTGAAGGGAGCTTATCTAGGTTTTTGCAGTTGCACTGGCCTCTTTACCACATCAATGTGGGATCCTAGCTACAGTGTGCAGAAGTAAGGGATTGTTTCAGAAGTTAACATTTTGCTTACCTGTAAATGCATTTCTGATAGATATTTACCTCTTTTCACACCTTCACACCCTTCCTCTCCACTACTGATACACGTTAAGAAGTGTTGCAAAATAAATCACACCTTTTTCCCTGAGAGAATAACAAAGTAAAATAAGATTTTAATTCAATCAAAAAAGTAATTCCAAGTATCAATATCACTTGATTGGGCCACCATTGCTCTTACACACGAGTTTTAATTGATTTGCAAAAGATTTCAGCAATGCAACAAACATGTCTGTTTTTGTGGCTGTCTCTGTGAGCACATCAATGAGAACACGATTCAAGGTTTCGTGTTTGTGTCTCTCACATTCAGGCAAAGATTCCAACCTTTCTTCTATGCATTGTTGAATGAAAGCTTCAACATTTTCAACTGGATTTAAATCTGGAGAGTTCCCGATCCACATTCCCACTTTTTCACGGACCACTCTTTCAAATTCAACAATTCTGAAACTTTTGAGGCATTAATCGGATTTTTCAAATCTGGCATTGTGATGTGTTGATTGGAAGACTTGAATTCTTGAAGCATGTTAGTTTGTTTTGAATTTTGTGCAAAGCTACACGAGGGCTATCTGTGCTAGCCATTCCTAATTTAGCAGTGTAAGATTACAAGAAAGGCAGCTAGTCATCACCACCCACTGCCAACTTTTGGGCTACTCTTTTACCAACGAATAGTGAGATTGGCTGTCACGTTATAACACCCCCACAGCTGAAAGGGTGAGAATGTTTGGTGGGATGGGGACTCGAATCCGCGACCCTCGGAGCATGTCTGCAACTACTTTCTGAGCCATCCTGAAGGCAGCACACGTGACATGAACCTGAGTTCTAATGAGCACCATGATTCAAAAGTTTTCGCAAAAAATTAAATTTGAAGAGTCAAACACCCAAGAGTATGTTGAAATGATGTTTTCTCACGAGTGACGATATTCGCGGTCTTACCAAGTTCGTCATTACTTCGGGGGAAAAAAACGTGATTTATTTTGCAACACCCCTTATGCTTGCCTCATCTGATAATGAAGATAATTTCAAGTGCAAATGTCTATAGGAATCTACTGTGTATAGAGGATGTGTTGCCATCTTATTGGTGGAGGGCCTTGTCACATGATGATTGCATCATGCACTAGCACAGTTCATATTAAAATGTGCGTCTTAGGTGGGAGATAGGTCAAGGCTAGTGGCATGTGCTAAATCTCAAAGACAGACATGCAATAAATAGCTACAATGTGCAAAGATGTGTCTATTGGAGATATATTTTCAGGAAAAGAAAATGTTATCTTTAATATTGCAATTTTGATAATTTTGTTTGTCACTATTCAGCTTCAAAATATGTTGTTATCACTTTCAAATAGATATTTTAGTATAAAGTAAAGACATAAAGTAAGACATTTTAAAAGGAAATGTTCTTTGGAAAAGAAAGTTATTCCTGTAGTAAATTTAAAAGAAACATGCACACTTTAACTGAGTCAATTTAGTACTGGTTTACTGTCTTATATCTCACAATTCTTTGAAATATAAACCTTTAGCTTTTGCACTGCTATTTCATGGTGCTATTTGTTTGCTCATGTTAGATAAGGTATACTTTTTGGTAGCTGTTACCCTGATTTATCATTGTAATGAGCTAAATTCAATCACAACTCTTTAAGATAAACACACACACACATATATATATATAGTCCTACATAAATGAAAATACTTAGTTATATTATAAATGGTTTTCGTTATTAGAAGCTTCAGTAGTCACTTACTGAATAAATATTGATATATATATGATAACATTTAGTGAAATTAAAGTATAAAGAATTTTTTTTCTTTCAGTGAAAAATCCTCAATGGCCTGGAGTAGCACTTTTCTTTCAAAATGCCTTTATCTTTATTGGGTAGGTAATGTACATATAGATAAATACCAAGGTAACATATATATCTATTGTGGTACTTAAAATGTAGTTTGCAATTAGTCACTGGAAGATGTGTAAATCCATTCTCAACTAAATAAGCCTGAAGTGTATAATTTACTAAATTATTCTAGGCTGGTTGCATGAATTTGTAAGAACATTAATATTTTACAATTTAAAGAAAGGATTTTATTGTTAGAAGTGGCAAAAACAAAATGCATTAGAAAACAATAAATCATTTAGGATTGTGTAACAAACTTTCATCTATCTGCATCAGTTTTAAAATGATCTTGTGAGCTGTAAGTGCATATCTATATCAGGAACTGATGAAGATCTGTACTGACATTTCAAAACATTGTTTTCAAAGTACTGCAGTAGATGAAGTTTGTTGAACTAGCCAAAAGGAATCATTACCCATTACTAAAAACACTGAAGACAAGTTTTTTATGAAAAAAAAAGGAGAGCGAGAGAGAAAATGTCTTACTTGTATGCGTTTCAAAGAAGATTGACAGGGTAGTCTCGTGGTTAACTTGACGTGATCTTCTTTCCTAAAAGAATGAGAACAGGAATAATAGAAGCATAAAGCAGTTGAAATTTATTACTCAAACTTTGTTTTAGTTTGCTTGAGAATTAGCATTAACTATTTAAAGGTAAACTAAAATTCAACATAGTAATAAGTATAGATAATTAAATATACTTTTCTGTTATTCTTACTTATAAAGAATAAAATGCATTGTTTTATCAGTTGGGTACAATCACTTTCAATGATATATTTTATTCTTTAAAATCTCTAAAAATAACAGTTAATGTAAAAACTAGTTTCGGCACTAAGCCAACATCCGATTTAGGCCTAGTGTTCAAATGAGTTGCACTATTAGATTTTTTCATAGTATAAGTAATTATTAGCAGACAATGGAATAAAAAAGGCAATATTAAGGAATGATATGATACATAGGAAGAATCTAATTAACTGTTTAAATGGATAGAACAATTTGATATTTCAACAGATACTAGTATTATGCTTTTGTTTATGTAGTTTTTTAGTATCAGTTACTTTTTGATATTGAATCAACTTGAAGCTGTTTCAAATAAACATTATGATTTTATTGCCAAGTTAGATCTAGGTCTCACATATTAAAAAATAACATACCTTTTTTTAGATTTAAAAGTTATTATTACTTCATAATGTTGAAATTGAAAGGAATAGAGCTTGGCTAAGCTGTTTTGTTTACAACTTGAAAGAAAAGTGTAAAATTGAATTAGGTAAAATGTTCAGGGATGCCATTAATATTTTTATAAAAATACACAAGGAGGGAAACCTTTAATCATAGTAAAGTAAATTAAAAACAAAGTAATAATAAATATAAATAAATACATATGATTTTGTGTTACTAATTGTTACCCTAAAAAATGATTTGTACATAACATAAATGAAATTTATAATAACTACAATTCATTTGCTTAACCTGGTTCACACCCTAACAGTTGTTGTTCATGAAAATTGATGATAAACATATCACTAGATTACAATATTCTTTGTTGTATCCCAGCCAACTGATGAGCCATGGTATTGGGTGAAAGACCTTGTTGGCACTGTGGTGACATATAATATTATCTTTTGCTTTCACTCTTAGAATTTATGTAAAGAAAGTTTAGTGACCTCCAGTTTTTTTTAATGTCTTGAACACATTTGTATTATTTACAGCATTGAATTACACACACAAGTGTATTCTGTATAATGAGCGTAATACTCTCGAAAATGGCTGGAGACGGCTTGAATTGGTAATGAAGAAAAAAAAAAACTTTAACATAACAGCAAATGTACAACGTTTCGACAAGGTTTTGTCATCATCAGGTACCCTTAGGAAGGAAATATCGTTTCTCTTTTTGATGATTTTTATATTCAGGTTATGTAGTTTGAAGATAGTTTCACGGTATGATTGGTTTATGGTAGTGAGAGAACATACTTAAAAAGTTATACATGGAATAACAAAGATAAACGTTTAGACTTACACAAC